TCAGACCCAGGGATCGAACCCATGTCTCCTGCATTGGCAGGTAGATTCTTTACCACAGAGCCACCAGGGAAGCCCTACTTTAAGCTACAATTGTCATATAGATAACATCTACATGTTTACAATATGTATATCTGCCAGCAGAATCTGCTTTCTGACCATAATGGATCTAAATTGGAAATCAACAACATTAAACTATCTTAAAGAAAACCCAAATATTTGGAGATCTCACTTTTAAATTACCTATCACTCGAAGAAATTATAGGGGACATTAGAAAATATTTTTTACTAAATCATAATAAAAATAGAACATATAACATCTGGGGGATGCAGCCAAAGCATTGAATGGGGTAGACTTATAGCTTTAAATGTTTATATTATAAAAGATGAATGGAATAAAAACAGTGGCCACATGTTCAACCTTAAGAAGCTAGATAAGTGCAAAGTGAACACAAAGTAAACAGGCAGAAGGAAATAATAAAGAGCTCAAATCAATGAAGTAGGAAACAAAAAGTAGAAAAATTAGCAAAACCAAAAGTTGATTCTTTGGAAAGATGAATAAAATTGATAAACAGCTATTTAGAATGATAGAGATTGAGAGAGTAAGATTGAGAGAGAAAGACAGAAGACACAGATGATCAATATCAGAAATAAAACAGGGGCTATCATTATGAATCCTACAGATTAAAAGGATAATAAGAAAATATTAAGACTGATTTCATATCAGTAAATTTTTGAAATTGATTAAATGGATAAATTACTTGAAAAATACAACTTATCAATATTGGCACACCCCAGGAACCCTGTCTTTTGAGGGGGCTATAGAACTGGCTAGCGAAACCTCACAAAAGAAATTTTAGACATGGCTAGTTTTAGCAGTTAAGTCTGTTAAACATTTATAATGTTGTGTTCTCTGTTAGAAAATAGAGGAGAAAAGAATACTTCCAAACTTGTTTTATGAGGCCAGATTAACCTGGATATAAAAACTAACAAAAGATGTTACCAAAAAGAAAATTACAGACCAACATCTCCCATGAACACAGATGGAAAAATCCTTAACAAAGTATTAGTAAGTTGACAACATGTAAAAAGAATGATATATCATGACCAAGTGGGGTTTATTCCAAACATTCAAGACTGGTTTAACTCTCTAGGAACTTGCGGCAGACAAAGATGAAACATGAGATTAAGGAAAACATTTTTCTACAATTGCTCTCTTTTACTAATGGGGGGAAAAGTGGTCAGATATAGCTAAAAACACCAGATATAGCTAAAAACACAAAACCAGGATTCTAACTGGTTATGTTTCCAACTCAGAGTTTATTAGAAAGGTCACTTTGCCTCTCTTGGTCCTAGTTTCCACACGTGTCCAATAATGACCTCTTAGGGCCTTTCCCGCTTTAATATTCTAAGAGAATATGAGGCCAAGTCCTACACTTTTTCTCACAGCTGCTTAAACTTTCTGCTTCAGCACCTCAGAAGGAAGTAGAAAACGTGCAAGACTTGCTTTCATGCACAAATGAAGACACCATCTGTGTGATACTTGAAGTGCCGAGGACTCAAGGGGGACCCCTCACTTGACAGCACCCGTGTGTCCTCAGGAAGTAGTTTTAATTTACTCTCTGAAGTCATCCAGTATGTCCTTATGCCATGGAAAAGACCAAGGACTTGGGTTTAGAATCAGCTGGATTTGAATCAGCTATGCTAACTACTGAATGACTCTGGAAAAGCTAACATCTCTGAATCTTAGTTTCTTTATCTCTGAAGTGGAGATAATACTTATGATTCAGAATTATTTTGAGGGATGATTATAAGATAGTATAAGAAAATTCATGAATTATAGTTAATGCTCAATAAATGTTAGTTTTCATTTCCATTTCAGTAAAGAATTAAGTTTGATTATGTATAGCAGAATACACAAATAATCATGGCTCTAGCAAGACAGAGATGTGTTTATTTCTCTTTCATGTAAAAGAATTCGAAGGTGGGAAGGCTGGAGTTTGTATGAGAGCTCCATGATCAGTAGGGAACCAGATTCTGTCCACCTTTGTTCTCTGCTCTCCTTAGTGTGTGACTTCCATTCACATGGTCACCTTGAAATCTAACAGGGCTGTCAGATCTCCAGCCATCCATTCACATTCCAAGTAGGTGCTAAAAGAGAGAAAAAGGCAAAAGGAGTATCTGGCAGCAGAGTTAGGCACACAATAGAGAACTTTTTGGATCCCCCAGCTAATGACTTCCACTTACTTCTTAGACTCCTCTCAGTTGGGGAATGAAGTCTTTTAGGGGGGCACATTACTGTCTCCAAATAAAGGGATGATTGTGTTACTAAGGACAATAGATATTGGGTATGCAGTCAGCGATCTCTACAACACTCCTGTTTCCTGTTATTACAGTTACTTTGGGTTTGGAGATCATGGAACTGGCATGGAATAGCTGGTATGGCTTCTGAGTCACAATTCATGACAAGAGAGTCAGCTCTTGTGTAGCACATGGATTTGAATTCAAAATCTAGTTTTGATCCTTCTAAATATGTGACCATGGATCAGGCAGATTACCTTTTTGGAGCCTTAGTTTCTCCCCCTGTGAAACAGGATGGTAATAACATGCCTACCTCACAGGTTTCAGGTAAAGATTCATGAGAGCTGAATGAGAGACAGCACTCTGAGCAGAGCTGGCCACACAGCAGATGCCCAACAATTTGTTTTTCTGAACTGGAGGTCCAAACTGGAAATGGCCTCTGCCATTGCTCAAAATGCCCCAAGGAGACAAGTGGCAGAATTCTACTTCATGGGGAGTGGCCATTTTGGTAGGTAAGGAAGGAAGCTCAAAAGAGGGCTAGGTTCTTAGAATTTGTCTAAAAAGCTGCTTGTAATTGCAGAAAATGATCTATGTAAGTTCTATGAAAGAACTATACAGAGTTGTGACAGTGCATTGATAGGGGGCGGGGGATGGGTAGGAAGTATGGCTGACAGGGTGTGGAGGTCAGAGAAATCCTGAACATGGGGAATAGCTATAACGTATAGCAGGTAGTAAGCTTATCTCCTTTTTCAGAATTCCAGGTCTGTGGTAGGCAGAATAATGCCCCTGCCCCCACCCAAAGATGTCCACGTCCTAACCCCTAGAACCTGTGAATACATTGTTACATGACAGAGAAGAATTAAGGTTGTAGATGATAATAAGGTTGCTAGCCTGCTGACCTTAAAACAGGGAGATTTTCCTGGATTATCTGTGTGGGACCAATGTAAGTGCTAGGCCCTTAAAACTGAAAGGCAGAGGAAACACAGAAATATGTGATGAGGGAAGCAGGGTCAGAAAGATGTTACTGGATTTGAAGATTGAGGGGGGCATGAATCAAGAAATGTGTGTAATTTCCTCTAGAAGCTGAAAAAGGCAAGGAAATGCATTCTCTTCTAGAAACTCCAGAAAGGCACCCAAACCTGCCAACACCTTGATTTTAGCCTGGTGTGGCTCATGTTGGACTTCTGAAATATAGAAGAGTAAGATAATCAGTCAGTTCAGTCACTCAGTCATGTCTAACTCTTGCGATCCCATGGATGGCAGCATGTCAGGCTTCCCTGTCCATCACCAACTCCCAGAGCTTGCTCAAACTCATGTCCATGAGTTGGATGGCATGAGTTGGTGATGCCATCCAACTATCTCATCCTCTGTCGTCCCCTTCTACTCCTGCCTTCAATCTTCTCAGCATCAGGGTCTTTTCCAATGAGTCAGTTCTTCAAATCAGGTGGCCAAAGTATTGGAGCTTCAGCTTCAGCATCAGTCCTTTCAATGAATATGCAGGATTGATTTCCTTTAGGATTGACCAGTTGGATCTCCTAGCAATCCAAGGGACTCTCAAGAGTCTTCTCCAACACCACAATTCAAAAGCATCAATTCTTCGGTGCTCAGCTTTCCTTATAACCCAACTCTCACACCCATACATGGCTACTGGAAAAACCATAGCTTTGACTAGACCGACTTTTGTCAGCAAAGTAATGTCTCTGCTTTTTAATATGCTGTCTAGGTTTGTCATAGCTTTTCTTCCAAGGAGCAAACATCTTCTAATTTCATGACTGCATCTTTTAATTTCATATCTTATTCATGTAAGGTAATAAATTTGTTTTATTTTAGGCCATTGAATTTGTAGTAATCTGTTATGGCAACAGTAGAAAACTAGTTCTTGGACTGAACCCTGATATTTCCATTTTAAAATGTCTTTCATTTCTTTCCACTTGCACAGAAAACCTACCTCTCTGTCATCTCTGCTCTCTGGACATCTCTGAGGACTGCAAGGCACAGCTCCGTTCAGATCCACTACAGGAGCGGCAAAGGGAGCAGGATAAGACGTGGCAAGCGAGTGCGAGGGTGAAGGGAGAGTTCTAGTTCTGGTCTCAAACAGGCCTGGTATAGAGCCTCGGGGAGCATCTGCTCTCTGTGGGAGTCTGAGCAAGAGATTTGGCTTGTTTCTTCAGCGCTAACCTGAAGGCCATGAAAGGTGCCTCAAAGGCACAAAAGGCAATGGCAACGATACCGTGCATTTGACATACGAGATTATCATTAACGCTCTTGTGCCGTCTGGAGATCGGGAATTCCAGGAAGGTCACTGGAGGGTAATCAAGGGCAACACCAAGCACCAGGGCCAGGTGCCAGAGAAGATGCCTCTTCCCCTTCCGGCCCCCTCCCCTTCCTGCCCGGGCAGCGGCTCGGGGAGAAAGCCCCAGGGAATGGGGAGATGGCTGGGCCACCTGTGCGCGCTGACAGCCCCCGCCCCAGTTCGCAGAGGCCGTGCAGCTAACCCTTCTGCCTCCGTCCTCTCAGCGCTTCCCCGACTCGGGCAGCCCTTTGGTGGCCGACCCGACTGATTGCACGGGGAGCCGGGCGCACGAAGCCCCTCTGCCTCCTCCCTACCCTGAGTGAACGATGGGGGGAACGCGGGGAGCTGGCCGGCTGCGGGCCGGTGGGGGGCAGTTCTCACTTCCCTTCCCCAACCGCCCGGGGAGCAGGTGCCGGGGGCCGAGCCCCGCCGGCGAGGCGGGCCCTGTGGACACGCCCTCGCGGGGAGTCCTCGCTGCCCCGCAGGAGGAAGCGCCAGAGCCGCGGCTGGTGCTGCGCGGAGCCGGGCTCCGCTCCCGTCCTGCTCCAGGGCCGCCGCCGGGCCCGCTCCGGCCCCGGGCCCCGAGCGCAGCGAGCCGGGCACGGAGGACCGTGGCCGGCGGCATGGCAGCCTCAGGTGCGTAGGCCGGCGCTGGTCCCTCTTCCCCGTCTCCCTCCGCGCACCCTCCCGCCGCCGCCTCCCGCCGTCCGCTGTCCCCTCTCGCTGTCCCGGCTGCTCCCTCGGCTCGGCGCGGGATCTGAGTTCTTTCTGTTCTTTCCTCTCTTCTTGTCGCAGACTTCCCTCCCCAGCTTTCTCACGTTCCCCTTCCCAGGCTGTTGCGCGATTCTCTTCGGCCCCTGCCCGACCTTCCCCTGTCCCTCATCTTCTGCGTCTCCTTTTCTCCCTCCAGCACTGGCCCTTGAGCTTCCTAGGGTCGCTCTCCCTGTTGAACTAACTCTGTGAGCCGAATCAAGTTTAAAGAATGTGGAGAGCCCACTGGTCTCTCCGCCGGCGAAATGCTTCGCTTCGGGTCCCATCGGGCCAATAGGGGGCGCTCAGACAGTCCGAGTTTGGAGATGGGCTTTGGGCCGCCTTCCTTAACCTGCTTCCTCTTCCCTCCTGGGCTTTGTTTTTTTGTCTAGAATTTCAGTAGGACTCTAAGAACACCACTCCTTTAGCTTTACTTTTCTTGTGTCCTTGTCAGAACTTGGACTGGGGAGAGGTGAGGGTAACTGGGTAATCTACCCATCAAAAGTTGCCAGGAGTCTCTTCTAATTAGCCCTGGGCTCCCTTCTGGTCCATGGCGGGTACACTTGGCAAGCCTCTCACTCATTGAGATCCAGAACAAGCACAGTAATGATGATGAGACAACCAATGAGCACTAACTATGCAATGTAGTGGATATTGTGCACCTAAATACGTCCTCACTGGTGACCAAGACACCCTAATCTCTGCTCTCAAGGAATTTATAGTCTGTGAAGGCAAGCCATAATTAAAACAGGGAATTATTAAATGAGAAGATTAGAGTTACCATGTTTGCAAGTGCGTTTAGTAGTATTTTCCCATCCCATCTTATGATGTTTTAGTAGATATAACATGTGAAAACAGGATGTAAAATCTTCTTGAGAAATAATATCTAGTTGGCTGGGAGGAGGTGCTGTTTTTGGAGAAATTGTGGGCAGATGCTAGAATGAAGGGTCAGCTTTCCCCAGGTCCCCTGAGATACAGTCTTCTAAATGTGGTTTGAAAGAGAAGGCCAATCAACGGTGACAGTTCCCTTAGATTTGGTAATGCAGACTCCGTATTTAAGGGAATTGGGAAGGTAGCTAACCTTAGCCTCCTGGCTCTCTAGCTGGGCACTAGAGGTTAGAAGAACTTGTACTATGAATAAGGTAATAGTAGGTTCATAGTCCACACATTCCATTTGAAAGCCAGTGCAGAGTTAATTGCTGCTGCTGCTGCTGCTAAGTCGCTTCAGTCGTGTCCAATTCTTAGCGACCCCATGGACTGCAGCCTACCAGGCTCCTCCGGCCATGGGATTTTCCAGGCAAGAGTACTGGAGTGGGGTGCCATTGCCTTCTCCAGAAGAGTTAACTAGAGGGAATCAATTCATTCAACATATATTTATTGCAGGCCCAGTTCTAGGTGTCAGGTGTATATTTAATAAACCAGACATAAGCCATGACTCCTTGAAACTTATGGGACAGCGAGGGAAGGCAGGCAATGCACTGAATAAGGAAAGTGCGATGTGCCTGTGTGCTTAGTCATGTCCGACTCTTTGTGACCCCATGGACCATAGCCCACCAGGCTCCTCTGTCCATGGGATTTTCCAGGCAAGGATACTGGAGTGGGTTTCCATTTCCTCCTGCAGGGGATCCTCCAAACCCAGGGATCGAGCCTGTACCTCCTGTGTCTCCTGCATTGGCAGGCAGATTCTTTACCACTGAACCACCTGGGAAGCCCAAGAAAAGTACATTATGTGATAAATGTGGTGGCAAAACAGTAGAGGGGTAAGGGGGGTTGGAGATACATTTTTAAAGGAGGCTGCAAGGTTAGGTCTCATGGAGAAAGGGTCATCTGAGCAAAGACCTGAAGGAGAGCAGGAGAGGAGGCTTGTGGGGGAAGAGGACTTTAGGCAGGGGAACAATAAATGGGTGGATATGATATATTTCTGGAACAGGGAGCAGGCCAGAGTGGCCACAGTAGGTGGGTGATCGGGGAGAAGTAGGAGATAAGATCAGTGATGCTCCCACCTCCATCTATTGCTAGGAACAGTTGCGGCTGCTGAGTCCAGGAAACAGCATACTTTGGGTGGAGAAAACCACCCCCCATTGTCCAGTATTGATTGCCTCAGTAGGTGTGGCCAAAGGGGCTAGAATGATGTGCTTCTGTTCATACGGGGACTCAAGCTCAGTGGCCAAACCTGGGCCCATTTATGGGCTCTGTAGTGGCTTTTTGCAGATATCTGTAATGGTTAAAGCTTTCAAATCTTCTTGCCATAAGCATCCTCCGTGGTGAGTCACCGCTCCAGTTTCTGCAAGTGGGACTTTCTGAGGTCTGGAGGACCAGGTCCCGTGGTGGATGGCACACGGGTGAGAGCGGTGAGACTGTCTCTTTGCCAGAATGCTGTAGTCTCTGGAGCCATCCAGGCCACTCTTCTACGTGTCTTCCTCTTTTTCTTTTCTTCCTTTGCCTCTTTTTTCCCTTCTTCCTCCCCCTCTCTGTTCTCCTCCATCTTTTAAATAGTTTTTTTTTGAGATGTATTTCACATACTACATGCTATTCACCCAATAAAGTATACAATTCAGTGGTTTTTAGTATCCTCACAGACATGTACAGGGCTTCCCAGGTGGCGCAAGGTTAAAGAATCGTGGGTTTGATCCCTGGGTCGGGAGGATCCTCTGGAGTAGGAAATGGCATTCCACTCCAGTATTCTTGCCTGAAAAAATTCCATGGACAGAGGAACCTGGTGGGCTACACTCCATGGGACTGCAGAGAATCAGACACAATTATACAACCATCATCACAGTCAATTTTAGAACATTTTCATCACCTCAAAAAGAAATTCCATATGCTTCAGCCATCACTCCATTGTCCCCTCTTCCTCTCTAGCCCCAAGTTCTACTTTCTGTCTCTGTAGATTAGATTTCCTTACTCTGGACTTTCACATAAATGGGATCATATAGTATGTGGCCTTTTGTGACTGACTTCTTTCATGTTGTATAAAGTTTTCAAGGTTCATCCAAGTTGTAGCATGCATCAGTACTTCATTTCTTCTTATGATCCAATCATGTGGTCTTCTTGAGTTCCCTTCCACTGAAGGGTGAGCATTAGTTTCTTTTCTTTCTTTTGGAAATGCATATTTGCTTGTTGAAATTGAGGAGAATCTTGACTCTTTATCTGAAAAAAACTTGGAAAATGAGGTGAAATGAAATGGAATCAGCCTACCCTGGAATATTCTGTAGGCTCCTGATGATGTCTATTGTATTTACTCTTGAGAGAGAGGAGAGAGAAGCCATAAGTGATTTTCCCAAGGGGCCAAGCCTGGTTGAGTGAAAACTAGAATCCTTTCTTCTGTTTATCAGCCTCCAGGTATTTGAAGAAACCTCTCATACCTTTTTCTACCCCCACAAGGCTTCTCTTACCTCTAGATCCTTCTTCCATTCCTGGACTTATAGGACAAAAGAGCTTGAAGGGACCTAAAATTTTTCTGTCACGTTACCTTCTGTCTGATCCTTGAAGTCCCTCAGTACTCCTGCGAAGTCTCTGAACTTGAAACTTTCAGAGTCTGGAAGCCCCTCGTGTTGTTTCCAGATCTCTCCCTATTCCGGTCACCTTCCTTGTGTCACGCCCCTCTTCAATATGGTGCCCAGATTCAAACTCGGGCTCCAGGTTGGATGAATGGAGTGGTCTGGGCTGGGTAGTTTGAGAAGCTGCCAAGCTCTTCTCAGGTCTTTTCTGGGGTGGATTCTGGATCTTTCAAAGGAAGCTGTCCTTCGGTCACTGTTCCTTACCACCGTCACTTCCTGTTGCCACCAGCCAGCCGTGCCTCTACTGTTGTCCACTCCTTTCTCCTTTGAAAGCCAGACCTGGTCTCTAAGTTCCTCAAGGATAAAGACCCTTCCTTATTTCTGTCTGGAATTTATAGACTCCTTATTGGCTCATGTATTTCGTTTCTCTAAATAAACAAACAAACAAAAATGGAGGTATGATTTGGCACATGTGATGAAGTGACTTATGATTAAAGGAAGGGAATTCTCATTGAGGAAAAGGGTGTCCCTACGTATGAGAGAGAGTCCCCGATGAAACGTTTAGTCCCAGCAGGTTGTGGAAGGACTTTGACTTCCACTTTGGACTTTTCTAGAATTTCCCCAAGTTTCAGTTTCAGCAGCAGAGTGAAATTCAGGAAGGTGATAGATCTCGTTGTCCTTATGTACAATGAGGCAAAATTGCTTAGACAGAGTATATTGGTCTGAAGTCACACCAGGAGTTGGTGACCAAGTAGGTTGTGATATTAAATAGCCTGAAGTACTAACCACTTCCTTCTCAAGTACTGGCATACCTCATTTTATTGCACGTGGCTTTATTGCGCTTTGCAGATATTGCGTTTTATTTTTTACAAATTGAAGGTTTGTGGCAACCCTACATCAAGCAAGAGTATTGGCGTTATTTTTTTCCCAACAGCATTTGCTCACTTCCTGTCTCTCTGTCACATTTTGGTAATTCTTACAATATTTCAAGCTTTTTCATTATTACTGTATTTGTTATGATGATTTGTGATCAGTGACCTTCGATTTTACTCTTGCAAAACATGGTTAAGGCTCAGATGGTAGCATTTTTTAGCAATAAAGCATTTTTTAATTAAGATATGTACATTGGTTTTTTTTTTTTTTTTAGACTTAATGCTTTCACACAGTTAACAGGCTACACGGTATAGTATAAATATAACTTTTATATGCACTGGGAAACCCTAATTTGGGAGACTTGATTTTGCAGTATTTGCTTTATTATGGTGGTCTAGAACCAAACCTGCAATAACTCTGAAGGATGCCTATACTTTCACTCAAAGAGGGTGAGTGAAATTTAGCACCAGAACCTCAGGAATGAGACATTTTAAATAGATTTCCATTTAGAAGAGGCTAACCCTTTAAGTTGGAAAAGGAAATGGCAACCCACTCCAGTATTCTTGCCTGGAAAATCCCATGGACAGAGGAGCATGGTAGGCTACAGTCCACGGGGTCACAAAGAGTCGGACATGTTATATTTAAATTCTATTTTTAAACTTTTATTTTAGAAATTTTCGATTTAAAGAAAAATTGGGGTGATAGTACAGAGAATTCTCATATATTGCATACCTGGTTTCCCCTATTATTAACATTTAAAGTTTTCTTGATGGCTAGAAGTCTTTAGTGAGTAGTAGGTATTGCACTGTGCTGTTAACAGAGGAGCAGGAAGTGGTGAGGTAGGATCCAGGGGGAACTGAGTACTCCCTCCTCCATGGCCCCAGAACTTGTCTTAAAAATGTTGTTTTGCTTTTGAGTCACTGAATTGATGCTTCTGAACTGTGGTGCTGGAAAAGACTGAGAGTCCTTTAGACAGCAAGGAGATCAAACCAGTCAATCCTAAAGGAAATCAACCCTGAATATTCTTTGGAAGGACTGATGCTAAAGCTGAAGCTCCAATGCTTTGGCCACCTGATGTGAAGAGCCGACTTATTGAAAAAGACCCTGATGCTGGGAAAGATTGAGGGCAGGAAGAGAAGGGGACGACAGAGGATGAGATGGTTGGATGGCATCACTGACTCAATGGACATGAGTTTGAGCAAGCTTCAGGAGATAGTGAAGACAGGGAAGCCTGGCATGCTGTAATCCATGGGGTCACAAAGAGTCAGACATGACTTAGCAACTGAACAGACTCCTTAGAAAAGTGGTATAAATCACTCATAGCTACATAGTCAGGCAATATACCGTTGCTGCTTTCCTGCTAAGACAATCAGTGCTCTGAGACCCAAGTTTCCTTCTTAAGGGTATTTCTTAAGTACCTTTTAAGGGTGCTCTCAGAAATCATTTTCTTGCTTCTTCCTCACTCTTTAGCCATCACTTGTCAACCCTGTTGAAAATATTACCCATGGTTTCTCCATCACTAATGTATGGGACCACAACCAGCCTCTTCTGAGACCTTACTCTCCTTCTAGTTTTTTTGCATAAACTATTTGCTAGTATATTTGTCTCTGTGTGTATGTGGAAGGAGGGTATGTGACTACAGCTTCTTACTTTTATGCTTTTAAGTAAATCCTGAACACAGCATCACTAACTTTGTATCCTTAATATTGTAATGAAATGTAGTCTTGCACGCTGCCTACCTGATGGGCCATACTCATGCCCATTCATATGCAATTACCCTTTACATTTAGAAGAACATTTACTTCTTAGTATAAAACAGCCATGTAGGGAGGAGGAGCATAAAGAAGACTGGATGTTAACTCTGCTTTTTCTCAGTGTGAGCTCCATAGTTATGTAGCTTTGCCAATTTTATTCCTTTTGTAGTGCAGAAATTATTTTTCCATCTAGGTTCAAAGAAATATTCTACACAGAAGAAAAAAGATTCAATTGGCAAAGATTTCACTTTATGGAAGGCTGCACCATTGGTACATTTAAATTTTGTCCTTGATCTACTTAACTCTGGGACCAGAGTAAGCATTCCTAAAAGGGACTGTTTTGTTCAAAACTGAGGAAACAGACCATGTTCAGGATTGAGTTCGCTATAGAGCTACAGATGTCCATGGTGTCTTCAGAATTGCTGACTTTTATTCCAGTCTCAAATTGGCTTCTTTTAAAATTTGCGCACCTTCCCTTCAAAAGGACTCACACAGGCTGATGCACTTGTTCCTACTGAAGCCTATTGGTGTTTTTTTTTTTTTAATTAGTTGGAGGCTAATTACTTCACAATATTGTAGTGGTTTTTGTCATACATTGACATGAATCAGCCATGGATATACATGTGGGAGGGGGGATCGGGCTGGGGAATACATGTATATCCATGGCCTATTGGGTTTTATATTAGTACTGAATGAGGTGCTCCAAAAATAAACGTCACATTTTTGTTTTATTTACTGTTTTAAAAGATTTGGTACTGTCATCCTGGGGGGATATCAGAACTGTGTTGGGTTTACATTTTATATGTCATTATTTTTATTTTGAATATGGTGATGGATGGGGCCAGGAACGGGACTTCCTTCCATGATGTTTTCAGAACTGAGAAGCTCATTCTTGCCCCAGTCCCGCCTCTGACATTCAGATAAATGTGGCCCAAGGATGGCATTTAATTGTGCTAATCCACAACTTAGATGAATCCTGTTTCACAGAGTTCCCAGCTTCCATCTCTGAGTGGGAGGAAGGCTCCCTATTGCCTTGTAGATTCGTAGATACTTCTCTGTGCTCACCCCTTCCAAATCCCTTAGAATAGTTCATTGAATTAATGGGAGATGAGGACTCACAAGTGTTATGTTAAGAGCCAAGCTTCTTTGAACTTCCATAATGGGAAATAAGAGTTACTGCTCGTAAGATTTTTGACAGAATTCCTGATGGGAGGTAGCAGGTGAAGTTGGCAAGAGGACGGGATAGGAAACCGGGGTCGGGGGGGGGGGGGCCACCTGAGTTTCAGTCCAGACTCTGAACTAATTTGCTGAATGTAAATTTAAAGAAATTCCTTTATCTTTTCAGATGAAGTATATCTTTTATCTGTAAATGAGGCGTTTGGGATCACTTTGTGATCCCCCAAAGATTCAGCACTTCTCTGAGCCTTTGGACTCTGTTTCTGGCATTTGTATTTTATTACAACAAGAAGAAAGCCTATGTGACAGACCATGGGTGGTGAGGGGCACTTTATAAACGGCACTGCATAGGTCAATGTGTTAGTCCAACCGTGGTCACCTTTACATTGATGCACTGCTTATATTACTGTGAGGATAATGACACCGGCTGCTGAGGGTTTATACATGCCAACCACTACACTCAGCAATTCACACAGCATATTTAATTTAATCCTCATGAAACACTGATAAATACTGCCTTTCTATTTCCATTTACAGATAAGTAAATGAGGTTTAGCAAATGTAAGCAACTTGCGCAGGGTTTCACGGCTACTACTTCAGAGAGCCAAGATGCTAAGTCTGATTCCAGATCTGCGCTTGTAACCACTGTGTTTGGGAAAGCTAGGTTCTGGGATCAAACTGAAAGTGAAAGTGTTAGGCGCTCAGTTGTGTCTGACTCTTGTCACCCCATGGACTGTAGCCCGCCAGGCTCCTCTGTCCATGGAATTCTCCAGGCAAGAATACTGGAGTGGATAGCCATTCCTTTCTCCAGGGAACCTTCCCAACCCAGGAATCAAACCTGGGTCTCCTGCATTACAGGCGGATTCTTTACCATCTGAGCCACCAGGGATCAAACTGCCTCGGTTCAAATTCTAACTCTGCCACTGGGGCTCTTGGATAAATTACTTATTCTGCCATACCTCAGTTTTCTCATCTTTAGAATCTGGTTAGTAGTGGTATCTTGAAAGGTTGCTGTGATGATCTAATGAATTTTCTAGGCAATAAGCTTGGACAAGCTGCAATGTAGTAAGCTCTAAGTAAGTGCTTGCAGTTTCTTTCATCATTGTCATCCTATACTACGTCAGCCATGGGCAGGAGAGGATACCAGCAGAAGCAATAGCATATGCAAAGATCTGAAACAGCATGGGGTGTTTGGACAATGACAGGGAGTCTGGAATGGTAGGAACACAGGCTGTAAGTGGGAAAGAAGTGGGGCAGGTATGCTCTGGGTGAAGCGTGAGAGAATGTGGGTACCAGGCCCCTCGTCTGGATGGTGACTCTTGCAGGTCATGGGAAGCCCTCGTGGGAGCAGGCATGTTAACATGCTTCTGTGTCTCCTTCTTGCTCAGGGATGCTGGGAGGATGCGACATCCTCATCGTTTACAGCCGAGATGCTGAGGAGTGGTGCCAGTACCTCCAGGACCTTTTCCTTTCCAGTCGGCAGGTCCGCGGTCAGAAGACGCTGACTTATAGGCTGAGCCCCAAGACGTCCTTCTCCGCCGAGGACCTGAGCTTCTTTCTCCATGTGCGCTGCATTGTGGTGCTGCTATCTGTGGAGCTGGTGCAGTGCTTCTGCCAGCCGAGCTTGCTGCCCCTGCTGCAGAGAGCCTTTCATCCTCCACACCGCGTGGTGCGGCTGCTCTGCGGGGTACAGGACAGCGAGGAGTTCCTGGACTTCTTTCCAGACTGGGCCCACTGGCAGGAGCTCACCTGTGACGATGAGCCTGAGACTTATGTAGCAGCTGTGAAGAAGGCCATTTCTGAAGGTAAGGGTCTCTTCTGGAGTACAGATATGCCAGCCCTGGAAAAAAGGACCCATCCAGGCCTCGGGCATTTCAGGCAAGACATTGTGGTGTTAATGGTCATCATTCCTCTTACAGACTGAACCTAGGCCTCACTATGCTAAGAGCCCCAGTCTTATTTACTGGTTTAGAGCAGCCTGTTTCTGAAACGGGATTGTCCCATCTCAGAATAGGGTAGGTTAGGTCTCCTGGGTAGGGTAGGATAGGGTAGGTCTCCTGGACCACAGGAAAGAAAGATGACACTTTTCCTTGAGTTCTGTGCTAGGATAAGCCCTGTTTTTAGAATTGTCTACTCCTCAGAAGACATTGGACAGAGACTCCAGCCTAGAGGACAGTGGGGGTGGGAGGCTGAGACTTAGTTTGGTGGGGATGTGAGGACTATGACTTCCAACCTTCCTGTTGCAAGCCACTTCCATTTTTTATCATCAGGTGACCTTAAGATTTTGGTTGAAAAGGTGTCACTTTTGGGTAACATGATTATAGAGAAAAACCTCCCTTCTCTATTTTCCACCAGCCTAGCTTTTGTCCTTTGCCTTGTTTCTCCTTTTAAAATGGGAGAATTCTGAGCCTCTCTGCTGGGACTAATGACTTCAGTGGCCCCAGGAAGTATGACAAATGCTCCGATTAGCAGTACCGGAAGATGTGCTCTGGGATGGATACATGTCACAGCTTTTCTTCCTCTTTTTGTTTTCTATTTTTATTTCATTGTGGGCTATGAGCAAGCTATATGTTTATCTTCTATTCTCTTGCCATTTGAGCTCTTATACACCTGATGCCAGCAAAGAAACCTGGAAAATAATGGAGCGATGTAACTGCTCAATTATCCCTGGTGTGCCTTGGGCATTAAAATTTGACTCATCCACCCCGTCTCGCTTGATTTGTGAATCAAGAATTCACAAATTCATAGTGACCTTAAAAAGCTAGTAGAGTTCCTAGATGCTTTTATCCCAGGAATGGCCTGCTCCAAACCAATAAATATGACCAGGTGACCTAACACAGTAGGATCCCAGGCCATTCTGTAATATAAATGACAAGTGTGAGTTTAGAAGAAGTCTCACTTGAAACTCCTGGGACCTGGATTTTTCCAGAGTTTGCTTGTCTTTACCTCAGAAGGATGTAAGGATAGGGAAAAAAATGCATAATTCATACTTGCACGATTGTACTTCATTTGTTTGAGGGGTCTGCTGAAATTTACAGAGAAGTGAGATGCAACTGGTTGTTGCAGAGCTTCTGTCACTGCTTAGCGTGAGCTTATGATCTGGTGGGCAGGCTGCTGTGACCCACCTGTCCATCATTCTGCATACCGTGGCTGTGTCGTCACTATACTGGCCTCATGTCGTATGCACTAACAGACTGTTCTTTCAAATACTACAGTGGTATTGTTTTTAAAAATAGGTGGTAAAAGGGATTTTCTGACTATTGTTTGGCTGTGTCTGATGTTCAGGTGACTAGACAAATTGATTGCTTATAATATTTTACTTTTCACTAATGACTCTGGCTCAGTGTGCTATAAGCACTTAGCTTCAAGTGTTTCAGAAGGAATGACATGTTTCACAGTGGTATTTCTGTTCTGAAATCAAATAACCTCTCATCAGAAGGAGATATTTTAAATGGGAGATTAAAACCAGCTGCTTAGTGGAAAATCTATGTGGTTCAGAATCAATGGATATGTAGGGACGAGTGGAATTATAGGAAACAGTATAAGGGAGGATGACTTCTGCCGCCAATGTCACTTTCATATCTGATATTAGACTTGTGAATTTGGGGATTTGAGGTCTCTGTGTGGAGAGGCTAGAATGGCTTAGGTTTGCTTTGGGAATGTCCATAGCCGTATCCCTCAGTTGGCCCAGTAATCGGGGGCTATATCTCTGATTTTTGTGCTGAACAAGCTTTCTTAACAAACGGAAGACTCAGAGTTTAACGTTGTAGCAAAAATGAGTAAGGACACTCTATTGCCTGGTTCCAGTGCTAACTGGATGCCCGATATTGGGCAATTTATGTAGCTTCTTTGGGTTTCAGTTTCCTTTTTTGTGGGGCTTTCCTGGTGGCTGAGACAGTAAAGAATCTGTCTGCAATTCAGGAGACCTGGGTTTGATCCCTGGGTTAGGAAGATCCCCTGGAGAAGGGAATTAGCTACCCACTCCAGTATTCTTGCCTAGAGAATTTCATGGACAGAGGAGCCTGGCAAGCTACAGTCCATGGAGTCACAAAGAGTCAGACACGACTGAGCATCTAACACTAACACTTCCTTCTCTTTAAGAGGCGGGCTCACACTTGATCTAAGACACTTTCCAGGGCTGAAATCTATGAGCCCCTTAGGCCAGAGAGTCTGAAATACTTTTGAAGCACCACCATCTTGTCCTATTTCATACCTGCTTTGACTCCCAGGAAGCTTAGAGCTAAAACAGTGTTTCAAGGATCATATTATCACTATACTATGTTTCTGGAAGAGTATGTCCTTAGTTGTAGTCTCTATAACTTGTGATAATTTATTTTAATATCCCTCTTGTATACATGAGGTTTTCCTAAGGTACTTCAAAATAAAAGTCAAAAATAAAATTTTCATACACCCCACTAGTACAAGCTGCCCCAGTCCTTTGAGAAATAAATACATGAAACTTGTTTCTTTGACTTTCTCTGTTAAACAATTCCAGTGGGAAACATAATGGAACTTTGATAATGGGGATGCACTAATGGTGGAGACAATAATTGTGGGGTTACTGATTGTAGAGCTCCTGAAAGCTACAGGGAGACACATTTCAGGCATCTTTCTAACAACTGAAGCGTGCAAAGATGGGATGGGTGGCCTTTTGAGGTGGTGCATTCCACATCACCAGGAGTGTGCAAGCAGAGACTGCATGTATGGTGTAAAAGGAATTCAGCTTTGGAACCATGGTGGGACCATGTGACCTTCACAATCTTTTGATTATAAAATTCTCTTACCTGAAGTTTCTGGTGTTTGTTTTTTTTGTTTGTTTGTTTTACTAGGGAAACATGTCTATATTGAATCCAGTCTTCCCCCTTCACCAGATCTCCCTGGGGTTTATAATTCCCAACTGAAGAAATATTGGTCATATTCCTACTATAATCCCAACAGAAAATAACAGGAAAAAGATTTCAATTCATAATCTATGTGACCCTTGAAAACAGTAAAACTCCCAGAATATTTATATACATATATATATGTTTTTAATTTTAAGGTATTTTGTGAGAAAATGTGATGAAATAAATTTTTATTTTAAGGCAGGGCAAGAAAAAATTAAACATCAAACTCTCTGTGTGTATTTGGACCTCTCTTCCCCTCCCCCATGTGCAGTGTGCATCCACGTTGCACATTGGCCCATTTTAGCCTGAGCTTCTCAGGAATGGGAGTGCCTGCTTGACCGTAAAGATCAATTTTTTCTTTCTTCTGACACTAACAATGTAACTTAAAATAATAGTGTTCTTTCCCAACTTTGTACAGGGTCGTGATGACTTGTTGCTCGCTTTGTCTGTGCCTACCTGGACCATGTATCCTTGATGAACTTTATGTAAAACATCAGTATGTCATTTTGATGTACAATCCTTTGTCTCAAAAATGTTTGTGACTGTGTCTTTGACTTCTAGCAGGTAGGAGAGCTTTCTGAGAATCTACTTGCGAGGTTATAACCCTCAGTATGGCTCAAATAAAATTCTTTTTGTCTTCTTAAATTGATAATTAATTGAATTTTTGTCAACAAATACTACTATTTAATAAGATATTCATTGAGATCATTTAAAATTTAGGCTAAATTTTAGACCATTTAAAATTTAAAATAAGGCTTAAAGATCAAAAGCTTTAGAGAATAGAACAGGTAATAGAGGTAATTATTCCAGAAACTTGGATTGGTTGTGGTGGTTGTTGTTCGTGTCTAACTCTTTTGCCACCCCATTTACTGTAACCCACTAGGTTCTTCTGTCCATGGGATTTCCCAGGCAAGAATACTGGAATGGGTTTCCATGCCCTCCTCCAGGGGATCTTCCCAACCCAGGGATTGAACCCACATCTTCTGCATTAGCAGGCAGGTTCTTTACCCCTGAGCCACCAGGGAAGCCCTGAATGAGATTACAGGTAGTTAGTTATACTTTCGCTTGCTGCTGTGTTATCTAAATAAGTACTTCTCAAACTTTAGTGAGGGTGGGAGGACCTGGGATTCTTGCCAATGTGCAGATTCTTACTCCAGGAGTCTGGATGGGACCCAAGACTCTGCATTTCTAACAAGCAACCAGGTGATGCTTATGCTGCTGGTTAGGGGTCTGCTGAAAACTGAGCTAAGGTCTAAGTCACCCTTCCTTTGTCAAGTCAGTTGTCTTGTACTTCTGTTACGCCTGGATCATTTTCTCAGATCTCTGCTTTTCTGGAAATGAAGGCACTATCTCATAAGGCTGACTCCTGGACCAGTGTTTACGTATAAAATAAGACCAGTATTTGGTGCTTAGCCCAGTAGACTTCAGGATAGGGCTCTTGAGTTCTCTTCCTGGTCCTTGACTCACAGATTCAATGTTAGCTCTGACAGCCTTCAACCTCTCAGTTTTCCGGATGTAAGTGGTCCTGACATCAGAGTAGGGGTATACTTCCATCACAAACCTTACTGCTTCTTCATTTAACAGGCGTGTTGATTACAATTACTACGCCACTAAAAATGTTTGGGAGGTTTTATTTCCTACCCCCCTCTCCAAATTTGTCAGTCACCTTAAAACTGAGCAGACGTTTTAATTATAGAGTCTTCAGTGTGTTGTAACAGCCAGTTTATTTCCCAAGGCCTTCATCTGTAAAATGATGGGGTTGGACCAGATGATTTGGAAGATTTCTTCCAGTACCCCAGCACTGTAAGATATCATTGTGAGTTTTCTAAATAGATGGCAAATTACCCAAAACCTTTTAACCAGTTTAGTTTAGTTCCAGAATGTTTGCAGTGTTATATACCCAAGGCATAGAAAACTGT